GAATACATTGTCCGAAAGTTTTTTGGGTAAGATCCAAGCCAATGGAAGCCAAGAACTGATCGCCAGAATTGGCCCACGCGCGTGGCCGAGGCGCTGCTTGACCCAGGGATGAGCCCAGGAAATCATCTCCTCGATGTCTCGATTGAAAAGAACCTGTGCCAAGAGTGCCTTGACCAAATGAAGCAGAAACATCCACCTGCAAAAACAGCCAAAATGCCATATCCGCCTGGGAGGACAGCCAAACAAGGACGAAGGAAAGATGGATTGCCCCAATCATTTTCTCCACTACATCATGCTCGCTACTGGCTTTCATTCTGCCACAAGGTCAGCGACATCTATGAGCGCGTGAATAAAGCCATACGCTTTTATGCGAATGCACGATGAGGCAGCGGCTTCCACTGTGATCTCCTCAGATGATGACGCCATGAAAGATGGCTCAAAAGCATCCCTTCTGATTCAAGGCCGCGCAAGTCAAAAGGTGCGCGAAAGACTGCGAAATGCGCGACGAAAATATCATTCTGGAGAAATTCACAAGTCCCATTTCCTTTCGCAGCCTGCCACTTCCATCCCCCCGGCCGCCGCTTGAGACAAGCTTCGCCCTGATACCAGGCCGACATAGTCCGCTGCAGCGCTCCATTCGCAGTAAGCACCACTCCATAGTATTGATGCCCTTGCATCCAGGCCGTCCCCTAGACAAATCCAGGTCTGGAATCCTTTGCAAAGACCAAACACAGAACTTCAACCGAGAATGGCTGGCAAAGTACCACTAGGCACTTGCAACCAAATCCACAAAAATACAATAGCCTTCGACTCAAAGAAGCATGCGTCATCTTTCCAGCAAATGAAGTTTGAGACCCTACAGTACTAAGCTTGTCAACAGGCACTGTAACACCCGCGGTCCATCTCAGCCGAAGTGCTTTCAGCTTCTTCCGCAGCCAAATCGGCAAGGGCCTAGACACGGTTTTGCCGTTCTAAACACCAAACCCTCTGAGAGATGGTCCTTGTCACGGGAACTCGTGACAGCTGGTGCCTTGTGCGTTAGCGGTTTTGGGTCAAAGGGTTGAGCTGTAGCAGCTTCCAATCTGCTCCGGTGAAAGCCCACGTTCTTGGGTGCCCGCCTTCGCTAAATGCACACGGATTTGTCCCGGCACAAGAAGATCGTGACACACACGTGTCATTATGTTGCAGGTACGCCCAAAATAGCCCAGAGCGCTTCAGGGCAAAGGGACACACAAATCACACACTGTGAACACTGGCACTACTGTTAGCAAGCGCCCCTCTAGTACTCTCAACCCTCAATCTTGGGAAGCATTTGTCTGGCTGTTTTCAATTCAGCACCCTTCTAGCCTGCGTTGTGGCAGTCAGCTATTCTTGAGATGCTTGTCCCTAACCGTGCGAACGTCAATGCCCAACGTCACACTGAAATGTGAGCCTGACCAGTGTTTGAGTCGTGAACGAATGCCCCTGAAAAGCATATAGGTTGCAGAACTGACGCAGTTGAGCTGGCAAGCCCAGCAACCCCAGCAATCGCTGGAAAAGGATGGTTGCCACAACCACTAGACGAAAGGCGTGCACGTAAGATCAAGGCCAGGAATCGAAACAAACATGTCCTGTGTGTGTGTGTGTGTGCGTGGTCGCGTGTGTGCGTGTGCACGTGTGCATGTGGTGTAGACATGACCAGCGCTACTCGGTCCAAGTAAGGAGGTCGTTTGATCACGGCATAGTTCGCTGCGTTTTCACCCTTTCACGTCAAACATGCGTTTGCAGCCCAGCAGCATCTCGCCACTGCTGCGTTGCATGATATCGCCGAAGTTGGCGCGGCCATCTTCTGCCTCCGTGCCAAGTTAAACCCAAAGCACGCGGCATTGAAGGACTCAGCTGACTTCTGCTCGCATCTTCAGCAACACGGCACGGAACGTCTTGCAAAGCTGGGCAACACAGCAGCTCATTCACCCTGTGGCGTCGGGACCAACCCACATCACACACACACACACATTGCCGCGGTTCCAAGGCACAGCTGAAGTTGAAGGATTCCTTTGTAAACAAGCTGGACAAAAGTAGACGCCCTATCAATGTCGATTGAGCGCCCAAGCAAATCATGGCTGGCTGTAAAGTCGACCCAAGAATGACTGAGAGCTGCATGGCCAGCCCTCCGGCACTTTACCCACAAGGACACACTACAATGAATCAATTGCACAGCTTGGCATCCTGCCGGCTGCATGTGAATGCAAAGAAGTGTACCACGCCTCGTCCATGGCTGGAATGCGCCGAGCGCCGAGTTGGAAGCTTTTGGGTTCGCTAGCTGCGATGCTTCATTGGCAGATTTGCTTGACCCAGAGAGTCTATGAACCGCTTGTCATTGCTCTTGCTCGGCTGCCAGTGATGCTTGTCGGGCATGCATGTGGCTCAGATTCCGTTTCTCTATTGAAAAGGCCCTTACGACTCCTCCTACCACTCAGCAGCAGAAATAGCAGCCAAGCAAGCTTCGGGTCGACACGGACCCAGGGCATGAACTCACACTGCGAATGGAGCTTTGCGTAGCACTGGTTGAGATCATTGGCTTGCAAGGTCACTGCCTGCATTTTCAGGACACCTTTGGCTGCGTGTGCCGTGTAAAATTTGTCTCCGACTCCTCTGCTGGACATAACAAGCTGTACCCGTGAGAGCTCATCGAAAACTGCTTGCAGGGACTGAACAGTTGCACGGAATAATCCAGGGCCACCGCAGAACCACAGAGAAGTTGGCAGCGATCCGTGTCTGACCACATCCACTTAGCAAGGATAAAATGTTTGGACGCCCTCAAGACACTTCTCACGACGTGGCTGGATTGAGCAATGGGTATGGCCACTAAAAAGCGGGAAGGATATGATAAATCATGATTAATCTAACTGCGAGCCAGTCGAAAAGAAGGAACGCATTGGCTATTGGCAACAACAACGCAACGGCTGATCCGGGCACAAGTCTAGGCAATGCATGGATGAAGGCATGCGTCCAACGATATCCTCAAGCATGACAGGTGGGTAAAACAACATCGATTCAATCTCAAGCCACAAAGTCTTGGGCGGACAGTGGCCACTTCAGCGGCGTTTGTAGATGGGCAATCCTGTGGCAGCAGTTCCTGGACGTCATTATGATTCGAATCCACCGGGTGCATTCAGCCTACCTTGGTTGATGCGCTGATAAGTTTGCGACTTTGCTAGATAGAGCATACATCTTGGGTCTTATGTGCCACTTATTTGGCTTCTTTCTGAGTCGCGTCGCGTGGGGGGCCGTGGCGTTTTTGTGTGTTTAGCCAGAACCGTTTCCGGTTCTGATTCTGGCAGCATCGACGCCAGACTGTGTTTTATCATTGCGCGTTTCGAAGCATTCAACTCTGCTGTGAGAAACACTTTTCTTGAAACCTCAATGTTGGTTTGTGCAAGGAAAACTTAGCGCAAACTAAACATATCCCAGCACGGGCTGAACAGAAACCAAGACTTGCACGCTTAAAACTATAGGGTGCCACATGCAAACCCGAAACGGAGACAGTACACTCACAGGGTTCCACAACTGCAGCACGATAGCTGCAGAATGTACAGGGCATGGCAATGGAGAGCAGGCCCCTTGCAAGGAGGGGCGCAAGGACACGACATGGTCCGAGCCTTGCCAAAACCAAAAGCGCCACAACAAAAGCGAAAGCGTGAGCATCGGGAGCTACGAGTGTCAACAGGATCCCTCAAAATGATTGGTCAATGATGCAAATGTTGACAAGAGCCCGAAGAGCAGGAACAAAGGATACGCGTTGGTCTAATCAAGCAGTTGTTTGCGAAATCTGCAAGCACGAGAAAGGCTGTTGAAGCACGATGACGGGTCAATCCACTTTCAGGCTAAGCAAAATATTGCAAAATATGGCAACATGTGAGTCGAGTTATCACCCCCATGGATTGCCGGACGCAACCGCGACCAAAAACGACAAACACTCGCCCCCCGAACAACACAAAGTCTGCCTCCGAACGTCAGAGATGTTGCGACAAGTTCAAGAAGTACCAAGTCTCATGAGCTGACTTCCTTCGCGCTGTCAGTGGCTCCTTTTTCACGCAGCAACAGCCCTTTTGACTCACTGCGACTGGAATGAGGCCAAACAGCCTGGCTCAAGGTAGCGGAAACAAAACCCAGCGGCTTGGCATACCCGCGCCTTGAACCTCCCTAATCTTGGCATTTCTCAGTATCGATTGGAGGGCAAGACTGGTGCAACATAGCATTATGTTAAACTTGTTGCGGTTAAGAAGCTCTTGGTTTGGTGGGAATTCTGTTGGGGGTGACCAGTCCACCTTCTAGGCCTGCAGAACGTGTCAAGGCTTCAGGACTTTTACCTTGAGGAAAATAGTGTGTGTTCAGCTTCCAGAATGTTCATCGGTTGTGGCAAGGCGGAAAGCATCACAGGAATGCCTAGCGGCTCAACAAGAAAGACCGTGTCGGAGTCGGAACTGTCCGGAAATCTTAGCATTGTCTGCCGCATTTCGGCTGGAATCCTTCAACATTGGCCTGCCAGTGCAGCCGTCATCCAAAAATGCCCTGACTCCACTGCGCTTTGTGCAAGTCTATGGCGCAATATCTACAATGTTCAGGAAACATGGCCAAGGGAGTGTCTTGAATGTGACCAACCTATGGTGACATGCTCCTCCAAATCAGATTTCCGGCATACAGGATCCCTCCTTATCGGAGTCGTTATTTCACCTCTGGCTGAACACATTGATTGAATGTCCACGGGCACAGCTAAGCAAACCCAGCCCGTGCCTCAAGCTGCGATCACTTTCATCACGGAGTCGGTGGGTGCAGATGCTTTAAGCAGCTTCCTGGCAACGACACAGATCCAAACTCTGGCCCATACATGAATAACAGGCGTAGACACACTGGCGCATGTTCGGCGTATACCTTCTCTTTCGCTACCAGCATCCCACTCGCACTAACAGGCCTTCGGGTCAGGCAGCCAGATTCGAAATAGCCTTGTAAAGCAGCCACTACAAATCTACGGCCGAGATCAATGCACGACGGGCCCTGCAAACGATTCAACGAGAAGCCCCTACCACACATTGACCCATGTTTCATGTCAAGCTTTGGCAACAACACAAACTTGGGAGGACACAAGTTGTCCGCTGCACACCTCGTGACGCCTCGAAAACTGCCGCAACAATGGGATAGTACCACGATCCAAACAATGTGCAGCGCAGTCCATCTGACAAATCATGGCGAAAGTGCTCAAGTTCGCCAGTCAAGAAGTTTGCTTTTTGACGACGGTGGCGACATCATTAAACACAAAGCACTGTAAAATAGAGAGAGAGAGAGAGAGAGAGGGAGAAGGAGAGAGAGAGAGGGAGAAGGAGAGAGAGAGAGAGAGAGAGAGAGAGAGAGAGAGAGAGAGAGAGAGCGAGCACCGTGAACTTCCGTCAACAATGCTCACGCTGCAAAACTTTGACCAACGCACTCGCCAAGGCACCCTGTCTTGGCATCGACCAAAGAGAGCGCCTCGCTGAGGCCCAAGGGTGGCATCGCCTGCCACTGCTGAAACTCCCGAAATGGACGGCCCTGGACTGGATGAAGCGCAAGATATTTGGCTGCGGGTCAAAACCAATGGTACCATTTTGGGGTAGATGCACCACCCATTTTGGTCTATTTTGGTGGGGATTGGGATGTTCACTGAGAGTACGGACTTTTGACCCACAGCCATTTCCCGAAATGGCCTCAAAACGATGGGTCTACGTGGGGTCCCTGGTGGAAAAAACAAGCTCAGGTGATATCCCCAACAGCATGCGGTGTTCGTTTTAGTGCTCGCACCACCCCGCAGCCCTCGCAGATCCTCGTGGAACCCTGGTGGAACCCTGGTGGAACCCTGGTGGAACCCTGGTGGAACCCTGGTGGAACCCTGGTGGAACCCTGGTGGAACCTTACCTCAGGGCCGCCCCGGACCACCCCGGAGCCTATCTGGGCTGAGACCCCAAAGCTTTCAGCTGTTGGGAAAAAATCACCCAAGGCCAGTCTTGAGGCCTCGCTGAGAAACCAAACCATCGGCCGGCGCACTGCGGATTCCCCCATCGTGTCCAAGTTGTCATGGCAAAGACCCATGCAACGACGAACTACGCCTTGCACAGGGCATAGCTTGAACCGCGCCCCAGCTGCCCACTGCCCCGTCTCACTGCGCCTCCTGCAGTTGCCTCTCCAGTTCCATGAAGGCTGCGGAGGGAGGGAGCCGCAGATGCGCCAACTCCGCACCCCCCACTCCGCGGCAGAGCACAGAGAGCTCCTCACCTCGAGTGAACCGAAGGGACGGAATTCAACGAGGGTGGGTAGCAGGAGTTTCAATGATTGACACATGCCCAAGGAAAGAGACTCTTCGATTGGGGGCGTTCTTGCCAGCCCGTCAAGACTCCAAATGCAGCGCCCACTGGCCGTCAATTTGCAGTGACGTTGCCTCTTGCAAGCTACGTGCACTTGGTGGGCAAGAACATGAAGAATTCCACATCTGCAAGCCATAGAAGTCCAGCGAGAAACTATCGGCCAAGCAGCCCTCAGTAATGTCCAACTCGACAATCTTGAAGTGCTCCTCAGCGACGTGTGCAGGAGGAACAACAGAATCAATATCTCTTTTGCATCTCAGTCGAGGAGGCCCAATGCAAGACAAGTGTCAGGAATAAACTCAACTTTGTACTCTGTGGGTGGTTCCACATCATCACTGGGTCGGCATAGCTGCCAGCGGCGGATGTAAACGGGATAGTCCCCGTCCATCCAGAATTCGAAAATTCCCTCGGCGCCTCTTTCCTCCATCATTCGGTACCTTATCTCACACCGCGAGCTACGTTGGCAACTAGTGACTCAATTTCTTTGCTGGCTCATAAGCTAAAGCTAGTTAATTTGCTAGTGAGTCAGCAAGCTCGTATTTGAGGGGCGGACCCGAGAAAGTTGGAAGACCGTTCGCCATTTGACGGCCTGTGTGCTGTAGCAATCGTCCGTTTCCAAGACTGCATCGCGATCGCGCTTGTTTGCACACCTGCCGAGGAGCCCAAATTGCGGCTGTGTTTTCTTACTGCTTCTACTCATGTTTGCCACATTTGTCTTCGGACAAGACCAAGTGCTTCCAGTACCACTACAGCAAAGCTATTGTTTGACTTCCTTAGATTTGTGTGCTTGTCGACGTGCGCTTGTTTACCATACTATATCTAAACATGTTGCCTGCATATCTATACTCCAAAAAAACTACTGGTGCATCTATTCGCGATGCACATGCATCGCGCGAGTGTCTGTTCGTATCAGTCTTGCAACTGTCCGTATCTATCCGAATCTATCCTCGTCAGTTCTTTCAAACAGGTGCATATCATATTGTTTGTATATCTTGTTGGCAGCGAGGGTCCGTGCTTCAGGTTGAGAAAAAAAGGTATTCATGTTCAGAACAGAAACCAAACATTGCCATTGCAACATATGGCTGTGGGTCAACAGTAGGTACCCAAAATGGAACCCTGGTAAATGGAAAAAAGGACTAAAACCTGCGGTCCAATTCCTGTTGAATTTTGACCCACACCCATATGAGCAACAACAGTGGATTCTGGCTGATCTTCAGCGGACACCAAAGGGACGGAGACACCGTTACGACACCAAAACACCACCAGGACACCACCTGCACACCCGGTTGATAAACAAGAAACTAGCACTTATGGATGCTTTCTTGGTTTCAAGTGCATCGCACTGCGCCATGTTCACGGCTTGTCCGGGGCTGTCGGTGGGGTTCGGGGGCTTAAAACAAATACAAACATGGTAGTTCTATGCACGCTGCGTTCGACATGTGCGTTTCACAGTTTCGGACTGCCTTAGCTGCAAGCCAAACGTACACTTGCTCAAAAGGCTCCAGTTTGTTGAGTTTGTTTTGTTGCCTGATTCGTTCTGAACATTTGTAAAAATGCTTTGCGCCTCCAGGCAGTATTGGACAGCTTGCCGTTGCTCGAATAATTGTCTGTTCTTGTTGTTTGGCATGTGCCCTGATCATGTGGAAGGCAGGAATGGGGATGCTCGTTATTTGGCAGCCCTCATCATGCTCGTTATAATGGCGATGACATCTGCCCGTCTCGCGTGTTTTTCTGGGAGGTGTCGGAGAGGCCAAATCAAAAGCAGAATGAGGTGATAAGATACAAGCAGTATAAACATGCTGTTCGCCAACACAAATCAGGAGACATGGAGATGTGTGGTGTGCGACTCGTCGGCATATGATGTCAAACGAAAAACACAATTGATCTGCAAGGCCAAATTTAGAGACCCAAAAAACACGAGGAACCCGTGCAATACCTTGTTAACTCTCGCGGTTTCGTTTAAACCAATATCGCGCTGTGCAAGCGCGGTACATCCCATAAAGGCAATCCCTGTCCGGCTTCCCGCTAGCCATGGGCTTCTGCCTCCCTTGCTCCAGCGGCAGGAAGGCAAAGTGAGCAGCAGGCTTCTGGGCGGTGCTGTCAAAGCGGACGACCCCCGAGGAGCCAAAAGGGAACTGGCCCTTGTGGCCAAATGGGAAACTCGTCACTGTGGTCATTTGAAGATAAACAAAGAACAACCGGGCACAAAGACAGTCTGCTGGCGACCGGTGAAAATCCAAACAGCAGAATATCCAAGCTTGTGATAGCAGCATGTGCATTCAAATCATCAAAGAAGTTGAAGAGTATATAACAGAGCTCTGGTGCTTGTTGATCACAACTTTTCCTAGCCAAGGGCGCCAACTGTCTTATAACCCAGCTAAGAGTTGAAGCTGTTGCTTGCACCATCGCCTAAAAGATGCGCCGTCCCCTGCACTTCAATGTGTTTTTTGCCAGGCATCGACACCGCAGCAGTAGTAGTCCTCAGAGAAGCAATGGCAGAACTTCATGTCATGCCGTTTGCACTTCTGGCTCGCGCAAACTAATCAAAATCATGCAATAGAACTACCATGACAACATGCATATTCATTGCGCCGAAGGCATCGCTGCAGCTGGTAATGTCAGCTGCAACACCCCCCCCCCCAATCCCAGCTGTGAGTCCTCTTCGATCTCATAAACCCAGTTGCCACCCTCTGCTTGGAAGGCGTAGACCGGTACCTCGAAACGAAATTCTACCATCCTTGAGAAGGCGTCCATGACACATAGCTTAGTGGACTGCGGCACTGAGTGGATGCTTCATGGGAAGTACGCGCGAAGTTGCATGAGCAAAGGCAAGCCTCGAAATCTGGGGGCATGTCACGGGATTCATCGAATTCATCGAGCACGTACCCTTGAAGGCCTTGAAGGGCAACGTCATGCATGTCGAAACTGGCTACACGGCCCATGTCGGACGCCACCGGGAATGGGCCCTGTGCAAACACACAGCTCAGACACGGGGACACCAACCGTTGCGTGAAACGCCCCCAGGCGACAAATCAAAAGCCAGCCGCCCAATATTGCTGCAAGGCGCCGGTGCTGTGAGTTTGACACCTGCAACCAGCGGAGGTCGAGACTGCATTGCTGATCATTTACCCTCCAGCTAACATGGAAGTGCACAAACCCCTGCAGAAAGGCTACTTTCCTGATGGAAAGTACCTTTTTGACACTTCCATGTTAGTTGGTGGGCGGGTATTGACCCCCGTCAACCTGAGCTGCCCCAATGGAAGCAGGTAAGGAAGGCATGAGACTTTCAGCACGTGCTTCGTGCCTGGTGGGACGGTTCCCGGGTTCACCGTCTCGCCTCCTCTGGTCGCGCCGACTCTTTTGAAGCCTTCGGCATGTGAAAAAAACATCAATGGCGTTGAGACTTGGACGTGTAACCAGGGATCCTTACATTATACACCTGAACATTGCTTGTAAATGGTGGGTTCCCCTTATTTTGGTGGAAAAAGCCATGTTTCAAATTGGCAAAATGTATCTTCTAATTAAGGAGCCCTAGGAACGAAAGCAAGACTCTCAAGAAACGGCAAAATGTGTGAGGACTCCCTCCCGGTGTGGCAGACAATATCACTATCCAGAATGTCACCAAATACAACATACAAACCGCGCAACGTCAAAATTGGGCAAAGGCACGGAATGTTGCAGCGTCCTCTTTGCTACAACCAAGCAGTATAGCGGTTCCCTCATCCTGCGAGTCCTCCTCTTCAAAGGAGGAGTAGGACTCTCGTTTGCCCAGATGAAACCATTGCAATGGTCGCCTTGGAACCAAACACACTACTTTCATTCTGTAGCATGGCGCTTCAAGTAATTGAAAGCACAGGCCAACCAAAGGCGCGTGCTCACACACTTCAAGAGCGAGGCTCACTCGCAGAAATGGCACTGTTGACTGGACAAAACCACGCATCACATGACACGCGCAGCCTGTTAACATGACACAGAAACAAAAATCTGAAGACATGCACTGGGTGATCAGCCCACACGTCCCCCATCATACCATAGCTTCGTTGCGTCACCATACCATACCATAGAACACACGCACACGCGCACAAAGACGCTGGATTGGAAGCCAATCTGTAGCAATCATGACTTCAAGCCCTGGTTCTACCAGCACGCTGGTTCGGGCCTTGCGCGAGCGCCAGTTGAGCATTGTTTTTTTTAGAGGTTCAGGGCTTATACACTGCTGGGGAGGCTACGCGGGGGGCCTCGCGGGGCCAGAATTTGTGGAAGGGTTGGCTTCGCGAGGCTTCGCGGCAAGACTGTGGCTTCGCGGAGTGGCTTCGCCGGGCTTCGCGGATGTTTGTTCCTCTGATGTTTGCGCCCCCATGTTGTTGAATCAAGTTGAGTCCATGCGAAAGGGGGCGATGAAAGGCGGCAAGAGAGGCATTGAGCTTCAGGACTAGGGACATGGCTAGGCCTCAAAGGGGCGGAGCATGGAAGTTGGACCGCGGTAGCTTCGCGGAGGCTTCGCGGAGGCTTCGCGAAAACGCTCCATCGTTTCTAGCAAAACCGGGCCTGAAACGCACAGTGCTCTTCCGGTCGTCTTCCCGTAATCTTCCTGCAATCTTGTCGCAGCCTGCTGACTCTAAACATCAACCTTTGGAAGCGCACAACACACTTGCCATGAAAGCACGCAATACACTCAAACCACGAAGTGGCTTCGCGAAGTGGCTTCGCCTGTGTCAATGTTACCGGGCTACGCGAAGTGGCTTCGCGGGGCTTCGCGGTACACAATGTATCGCACAAGTGCCTTCGCGGAGCTTTTGGGAGTTCCCCACGAAGCTAAAATCCATCATCTGAGAAAAAAACGCTGCTCAGTTGAGCTTGAGTGGGCATGCGCAACTGCGTTGGACCCATGTTGCACCAGTTACGTTCGGAGTCGTCACTCTGGTACGAGGCATCTTTTGGTTCTGCCGCCGTGCTTCCAGCGTCGTAGCTGCAGATCGGCATCGGCCGCCTGCCTTTGTGAAGCAGACATTTGTGCCATGTTTATCTTTGGACCCATTCCTCCGCTGTAGCTTTGTTTCCTCGGACTCCGTGGCCGCTTCCAATTCTGTCCCCTTCCTTTGTTGCGCCATGTCCCGTGGACCTGGTCGTTGGTGGTTTCTGTTCTGCGTAGCCGCTTGCGAGGCACGTGACCTGATGTGCGCAAACGCGGTGGTGTCGCCTGCTTGTTGTAGCGGCCGCGTTGCTCATTTGCGGCACTGCGACGATCTTCACAAGTTGGAACTCCCATGGTGCAATGCTGTCCTCAAACTTGTTTTTGTCAAGCTGTGGCTTGAGCAATTTTGTGAAGAATCCGTCGCTATGAATTGTAAATTTTGTTGGCGCTTGGTTGGTCTGGTGCTGCTTGCTCCAGTTGACCATTCGCTACCAGAGGTTGCCGTTGCTCTGCCAGTCGTGGTAGCCGTTTGCTCGCGGAGTCCCGTCGACCAATGTCGCTAAGGTATGCTACCATCCTGCACATCCATTCTTCAACTATGTGCTCTCCATTGAGCCGTGGTGGTGGAGCCTGGTATTGCGGACTCCTGCGAGTTGTTCTTGCTGTTGTTGCTGCAGTTCCGCCATACCTTACTGCGCTGCGGTGCCGCCGAACGTCGTTTGGGTCCCTCGATGTGTGGACATGTAGCAGATTGCCACGTGCAATGTACACTGGAGGTTGTCTCTTAACACATACATACATGTGTAAATTTACATAGCCAACGTGTGTATATATATATATATACACACACACACACGCGCGCGCGCATTGCTGACGTACAAACCACCCAGCGAGCACGCCACGTGACTTGTATCAAAATAAAATCCACGTCGCACGGGAATTCCTCCCAGATGCTGCACCACTAGTAGTTTCTGCTTGGGTTCCCCAACATGCTGACAAGATGCTCGCAAGGGTCCCAGGAGCCCAATTTGAAGAGCCTGCCATCCCAGTCATCCCTGGGCGGGATTCCACATCACTGCACGCACAGATTTGTTGTAAAACACCTCGCCGAGCAGCTCGGAGGCGTTGGCAGTCCCCTCGCCCAGCGCCTCCTCCGGACGTTTGAAGCTCAAGCGCCCTGGTCGCTTGAGCTTGCACCAAACTCGGAGATTGGTTCCTGTGGTACCGTGCCCTCCGCAAGCCTAGCTTGTGCGTTTGGCATGTGAGCCAGCGGCACAATGGTTGCTTGCACAGCGCCTGCTTGAAGATGCAGATGACTCTCGCCGTGCCCGGCATGAAGGACTGGGTCTTCAGGCCCCGCGCTGCTGCCTGTTGCTTGGAATCTGTTCCAATGCAAAGCCCACGGTCATTTGCAACTCCTAACCGTCTGAGGCTTAGTAAAAATTGCAGTCTCCGGCAGGCCCCAGCACAGCCGTTTCTGCGGCACTGGTCTTGCCCGTGCTAACGAATGTTTGTAAATGCCAGCTGAGCTGGGCTCAATCACTCGCAAAGTTCACGTTCCCGGTGCACATCGCTTAGGGGATGCCTTCGTGATACCATTCAGACCCGGAATCCCAGCGCCCGCGGGAAGCCTGCTTGTGAAGGTACTTTCGCTCCGCGGTAGTGATGCTGCTCGGCATCCGCAGCTGAAGCTCTTCACTCGATACAAAGGCATCCAGGCGGCTGCTCCTCATTGAAAGTGGCTGAGGTGGTCCTGTGCCTCTTGAGTCCCCCTGCATGAGTGGTTGCGCTCATGCCATGTGCCATGTCAGGATGCGAGTCTTCGAACGGGTCAAAAACATAGCATGTTGCGAGGCTGATGCTTCTGAACAGCGTGCATTTTGTGCTCAGTTACAAGACTGTAATGCGAGGTTGCTTTGAAATGCTCGCCAACTGCCGTGGTCTACAGAGCCATCCATGGGGGGATTCAATATGTATGATGTATATATATATATACACATGCACAAAGTGAATATATATATATATACTATACATGCATACTGTACTGAGAGAATCATGATGCCGGTGACACTTCTGCTAAAGCCAAGCAGTAGGCGCAAATGGCAATTCTAAAGTGAAAGAGCTACAATTTGTTCAATGCTGCAATGACAAGTCTGAATGAACCTTCCAACAACAAGTGCTACCTAGGCTTCGCATTGCTGCATTCGCGCCAAAGCCACAGTGCATGTGCAAAAAGAAAAAAAACAAACCTAGTGCCTAGGTCAAGGTTGAAGCTCGCCCGCACGCGGACTACTACATCTTATATATAGCATTGCTACATTCGTAGGCACCGAGCTGGAACTCTCCTTTCCATTCCCTCTCCCTGCCAAGGCGCAACTCTTGCTGCCGCTCAAGGGTCAACTGCTTGGGGCTTTTTGCCTTGCCCTTGTCCTTGCCTATGTCCTTGCCCATGCCCTTGCCCTGGTCCTTGCCATTGTCCTTGCCCTTACCCTCGTCGCCGTAGATGCCCATGCCCTTGTCCTTGTCCTTGCCCTTGCCCTTGCCCTTACCCTTACCCTCGTCGCCGTAGATGCCCATGCCCTTGCCGTTGTCCGCGCCCTTGCCCTTGCCTGGCTGGTCCGGGCACTCTGTCCACTGTGATCCTCCCATGAGGTCTCACCCGTGGATTGTTGGCAATTATCTGCCTCTGAGATACAAAACCCTTTAAGGTAGCGCTGCCATCCTAACACTGTTGCACATTATGCTGCTTGGGACACCCTTGCTTCTCAAACCTGGCTACAACTGAACTCCTGCTCAACTTCACCACAACAAGACCCTGACCTTCTGGCAGTTGGCCGCTCTTCGAAAACTGTTCTCTGAAATGGCACGCGTGAACATGCCAAACTTGCCAACAGCGCCTGCTGACTTTCCAAGTCACCAGGAGGCGTGAACTGGCAATCTCATGCAGCATGATGGATAAGTCGGTCAGCAGCTCAAAAATAGTGATACTTCACTGCAAGCCCGCGAGTAGACAAATCCAAAACCAACATCCGCCAAAAGCAATCGTGTCGGATCAATGGAGACATGAAGAAATTGCTCGCAAGGATTCCGCCAGACAATGTGAGTAACGTCAACAAATGATCTCGTATTCACCCTCGGTCTTCTTCATTGTCTGAGCTTAGGATGAGTTACCCTTCTCCATCCACCACGGGGCAGCCTCCTCATTGGTCTCCTAGCGCAACAGAGAACGACGGCAGTGCACGCAGCATCTGGAACAGAACAATCCTCCAGTGGTAATTCTGCCCCTCAGAATCCCGAAAATGCAAACATTCAGCCCTCCTCCATCTGGGCCAGTGATACCTTGGGAATCGCAAGCCCTCTAGGAATCGCAAGCTTGAGCCAGGCGCAAGAGCGCATCTTCCTCAACGCACTGAGACCTTTGGCGGCGATTAGAGATGGCAATGAGCCCTCGAGGTGGCAAAGCTGATCGCCATCCAAACAGTTACTAAGCCCAATGAGCTACCATAGCGGAAGCAACGCTCGTGTTTGGCCTTGGCTCTCTTATGCGCTTTGAGATACCGAAAAACATTATTTCCGAGCCAATCAAGCCGTGATGCTTTCAGAGCAGCTGCATCGCAATGCCTGTTGGCATGGCTCCCTCTTTGTCACCTTGCTAATCTGTAAGATCAGACGTTTGCAGGAGTTGTCGCGCAGCGGCTACATGGGAAGCAACGCGTTCCGGAAATGATTCACCGGCCTGACAAGAACAGAAGAGGAAATAACCGACACAACATGGCGTGTGTGTGTGTGTGTTTTGTTTTGTTTTTTTGGGGGGGGGAACAGCAGGGTTGTACGCCGATCCCGCCTTCAGGCGTCACTAACACAAGCAGCAAATGCTAAGCCAATACTCGACAGCACTTGATCAAAGCCAAACAAAAGCAATATGCAGAATGCAATACTTGTTGGAGAACTACTCGGTTTCTTGATGCATCCCCAAATTATTTGTCTGGGAGGGGGGGGTCCATCGTTCATCACTCACCCATATAACCGCAAGCAGTTGACTGGACGGCGAAATGAACCATTGCCTGACTGGCGAAAACGTAAGGCAAGGGGGGGGTGTTGCTTACACCATTCAGCGTCACTTGTGTGCAACTGTGTCTTTCTGTTGCCTCGGCAGGAAGGCATGAAAAGTAGATCCGCTCGAGCATGACACATGGGTAGGCCAACATCGCTTTAATCTCAAGCCACAAAATGTTGGGCGAACTGTGCCGAGTCGTACCGCCATTTGTCCTTTGGCAATCCTTTGAGTAATGTTGCACCTGGTTTAATATCGGTAGTCTGAATTATGTCAAGTTTACCCGGCTTAAACACGACCCCCCCACTGTTTCGGTACCACGATTTATGTCAACTTCAGACCCCGAAACCACCCCGGTACAAAAAATATGAGCCAAGTGCGCAATATGGGCAACTGATTACTCAACTAAGTAGTGGCGACCCAAAAGGAAGTGCTGGCAATACTAAACTAAGTGGTTGCAACACTAAAGCAATACTTAAGTCATCCAAGCTCCCTGCCAGATCCTTATTCAAGACCCCTGAGCACTGTTTTGACTGTTTGGGGGGGGGCCACAGTAAACAAGGTCCAACATTATCGTCACCAGAAATGCAGAAAAGTTTCAAGGCCGTACGCCAGCCGCGTTCCTTCTACATGGCTGTCAGTCGCTCCTTTTGCTGCACGATTGCGCACAGCGACAGCCCTGACTTTGAATCACTGCGGCCGAACAGCCTGGCTCAAGCTACAAGACGACAAACCCTGCTTGGAAGACCTATGTTGCTAACCTCCCTGCCTGAGCACGACCTTGGCAGCTGGCAGGCCAGCTTGTGGAAAGCTCAGCGGTGCTGGCAATGGGAATCTCATCATAGCAACGCCGAAGAGCTCAACAAGAACGTCTCTCAGCATTTTGGCGCGAATCTTGCTTGCAAGTTTGGCCCGCCAGTGCAGCCATAATCTCAACAGGCCCTGACTTTGTGCAAGACTACGGCGCAATAATAATCTGTGACATTCAAAAAATAGCAAGAGAGTCTCTTGAAGGTGACCAACATATAATAACATGCTCCGGAAGTTCGGACCTCCCGTAAACATGACCTATCGAAGCCCTGCCTCAAGCTGTGATCACTTTCATCACGGAGTCGGTACTTGCAGATGGCTTTAGCAGCTTCCTAACGGAAAGAGGATTTTCCAAACCCTGGGCTGTGCATGAATGATAGGCTGAATGGACTAGCACATGGTGAAGCACAAGCCATAGGGTCAGACACCCAAAACTGAGATGGTCTTGCCAAGTGCAAGAAAGCTACCTACGTCAATTGGCACAAGGCGCCTCTGCTGAACTGACCCAGGTTTCCGGTCAAGTTTCGACAACAAGAAATATGCAGGAATCAAGTTGTCCACTGCGCGTCGCTTGATCCCTCGCAATCGCGCGAAATCATGCAACTATGTGGTAGGCGATGTGGAGTGCGCTCCCTGCTCAGAAAGCTTTTGTTGGATCATCTGCCCAAACATTGCGAACATGTTCAGAGGCATGCAGCAGAGCAGAAATCTGTGGTCCAGAAGAAGCCAAGGTTCAGCGCAGTGTCTTGTGAACCAAGGTCTCCAAAGCAGCGACACCGTAAGACACTGTAAGCACTGCAGTAGACTTTCCGCAAGATCTGTAAGGCAAAAAATGCACTAGATGCCGCAAACCTTCGTAGCACTCGCCAAGGCTCCCTGTCTTGGCATTGACCAAAGAGAGCGCCACATCAAGCCCCAATGGTGGCATCGCCTGCCGCTTCAGCCCTTGACTGGATTAAACAAAAGAAATCTCCCGAAATTGCCTCAAAACCATGGGTCTACGATTGTCCGCCGACGTTGCTCGGCGTGTCGGAGGATAGAGGATAACCCCTGGGGAATCGAGCCTGGGACCCCTGTTTTGCGACACTGGCTCCCCGAAGACTACGTTTAGTGACAACGTCATCAAATTGCCGCGCGGTCCGTGGCCCCCCCCCCCGCTCGGCCCCCCCCCCCCCCCCGTATCAGACGTGGGGCGCCGGGGGGGGGTTAGGGGGGCTGTTGCCGAAAATCTGGAAAAACTCTGTGTTGTTGGAGGTCCTAATTGCGAAAACGCTAGAAAACCGTGTTTTTGCGGGAAATATTGGGGAGCAAAGGGGAAATGCAAGGAAGTGCAAGGAAATGAGGGGAGGAAATAGGAAGTCGACATGACAGGAAAGCAGCGGGAAATGAAAGGGAAACAAAGGAAAACTGAAAGGGACATGCAAGGGACAGAAATGAAAACAAGGGGAGTGCAGGGGGAATGAAAGGGAAACAAAGCACAAGGAAACCAATCGGCACGACGGGAGATGTAGGGAAATGACTCGCAACGAAAGAACGGGACATGCACGGAAAATGAAGCGGACATAGCGAGAAAATGTCAGGGACATGAAGGGGGAGTTGAAAGGCATGGAAGGGACATGACCAGGACATCATGGGAAACGTGAAAAGGACATGAAGGGGAAATGAAGGGGAAAGCCAGTAGTGAGATGACAGTTCAGGGTCATGAAGGGGCAGTGCCCGGACATTGAGGCAACTCAGGGGGGACGTGACGCTGCAATGCAGAGAGAGAGAGAGAGACAGGGAGAGAGCGGGAGAGAGAGAGGGAGAGAGAGAGGGAGAGAGCGGGAGAGAGAGAGGGAGAAAGAGAGAGAGAGAGAGACAGAGACAGAGCCAGAGCCAGAATCAGAGAAACAGAGAAAGAGACAGACAGAGAGAGAGACAGAGAGAGAGACAGAGAGAGAGAGAGAGAAAGAGAGAGACTGAGAAAGAGAGACACAGAAAGACAGAGAGAGAGAGGGAAAGAGAGAGACTGAGAAAGAGAGAGACTGAGAAAGAGAGACACAGAAAGACAGAGAGAGAGAGAGAGAGAGAGAGAGAGAGAGACAGAGAGAAAGAGCGCGAATTACTGTACCCTTTTTCTGTAGAGGGGCGTGGACAGGAAGGAGACAGGGAGACAGAAAGAGACAGAGAAACAGAGAGAGAGAGAGAGAGAGAGAGAGAGAGAGAGAGAGAGAGAGAGAGAGAGAGAGAGAGAGAGAGAGAGAGAGAGAGAGAGAGAGAGAGAGAGAGAGAGAGAGAGAGAGAGAGAGAGAGAGAGAGAGAGAGAGAGAGAGAGAGACAGAGAGAGAGGGAGGGAAGCGGAGAGAGGACGACAGAACACACGAGGGAGACAAGTGAGAGAGGAAGAAGGAGAAAAGGGAAAGGACAATGTCGGCCCCTTTTGGAAAACATCTATCTCCCAAAGCCAGTCTTGAGGCCCGCACAGTTCATCACGTGACGCAGTGCTGATTCCGCATCATGTCCAAGTTGCCAAGCCATGGCAAAGACCCATGAAACGACGACGAACTAGGCCTTGCTCAGGGCTTTCCAGCTTGAACCGCGCCTCATCTGCCCCCATCTGACTGCCCCGTCCCACTGCGCCTCCCGCAGTTGCCTCTCCAGTTCCGTGAACGCTGCGGAGGGCGGCAGCCGCAGATGCGCCAACTCCGCACCCCCCACCCCTCGGCAGAGCACAGAGAGCTGCTCGCCTAAGGAAACACGTCGGGATGCGGAAGAACCAAAGGGACGGAATGGGCCGGGCAGGCTGAATTCAAAGAGGGAGATAGCAGGAGCTTCAATGATTGACACATGCCCAAGTTAAGAGACTCTTCGGTTGGGAGTGGTCTTGCCGTCGCGTCGAGGCTCCAAATCCAGCGCTCACTTGCAGTCAATTTGCTGTAATGTTGCCTCTTAGACTCTTACAAGGTACCCGCACAAGCTGAGCAAGATGAACAATTCCACATCTGCAAGCCTTGCAATTCCAGCGAGAAACTATCGGCCAAGCTGCCCTCAGTAATGTCCAACTCGACAATCTTGAAGTGCTCCTCAGCGACGGTGCAGGGAGGAACAACAGACTCAACCAGCTTGGTGCATCTCAGTCAAGCAATGGCGATGCTTCCATTTGCTTAAGGCCCCAGGAAGAAATATAAATATGTCCAGTAGTGATTGATTTCTTTCAAAACCAACAAGGGAAAATAAAAGAACATTCTATAGATTCAAGGGTTACCGGTTTGGGGCCCAAAAGGAAACAACAAACCGTCCAAGTGCGCTGCTCGCACATTTTCACGCTTGAACAGCCACACTGCGGATGCAATGGATGTAAAACCCATACTAACCGATCAAATTCTTCACCCCCCTCTGCGTGTTAAAGGGGCCTTTCACAAAGCAGCCAAACAGTAACACAACAGAGGGAGAAGGTCAGGGGAACCATTGACACATGCAAACCATGACAGTTGCGCTTTTAGCGCCACTGCCACGTAGAGTAATGTCCGCTGCTGTTGCCCCATCCGCTCCATCCGGACCAGTTCTGCCAGCTGCCTTGGCTCCAATGCTCACCCTCGCGGGCGGCGGGAGCACGTGTGTCGGCATAGCGAGCTGCGTTGCGAGCGAGGTGCTTGCTGCTCTCGTTCCTCGAAAACTCGATCGAGTTGTGAGCGTAGCGCTCGTTCTGGCTGAATATCCAGTCCATTTCGCGGCGGAGGTCCTCGAGGGAATTGCTACGCAAATGGATGATGCCATTCCAGCATCCAATGCTGCGAGGCTTGTCCTGCTCGGAGACAACATTCACAAAAGCCTGTGGACTGTATGGCATACCCTGGAACATGATGATCCAACGGGAACTGAGTGCATCCTGCAATTCGCTGGGCAAAAACTCCACCTCCGTCTTTATGTACGCGAGCCTTGCGATTCGCGACTCAGAAGTTGATCCAAGGCCAACTCCAAGAGTGCGCTGGGCTTGCGACTGCTTTGGAGCAGCCAAGACGAGGTTTGCACACAGCTCCATGCGGAGTATGTCCGCATCCCGACGACCCACCTCAAGCATACGAACCCTGTATTGAAGGTCGAGTTCATAGCGATCAAGCAGAGAGTGGTAGCCGTTCTTCAGGGCGGACTTGTGCTTCTTCCGGGCCTCCTGAATTACAGCACTGTCCGGGGAGTTCAAGCCACGAAGGATGCTACTCCGATCCTCCTCACGGAGGTCGAAAGTTCCCACGGTTGCCAAAACCTGAGCTGTGACGTGGGTGCTGAGGCCCATCTTCTTCAGCAAATTGGAACGCTGCACAAGGTAATTCTTTTGCTGCTCTTTCAACAGGCGAGGATTGAGGGGTGACAACTGCCCACATGATGTGCAGTGGACCTGCCCCTCGAACACACTGTTGTTGCAAACCGGGCACGTGGCGACATTCAGCTCAACGTTCTCCATTGGGTTGAAAGTCTTCTGTCTCTTCGCTTCCCCTTGCGGGGCGCGAGGAGACGCCACATTGGTGCGGGTTGTAGCAATGCGCTCCAGTGCTGTGGACCGATCATCAACCACGGCTTGGTCGCGCTTCATCCCCTGGGGTTCATCCTCAGTCGCCTCAGCTGGTGCACCTGCATCCGATTGCTCGGAGCGAGTGTACCATACATCGCCATTTGTAGCGTCCAATACAGAAATAATCGTGTAGTTGGGCACCTTGTCGCGCGTGAGGACGCCATCGCTCTCTGTCTTGAAAAAGCAAAGCCCTGCGCGAATGGCCATCCTGAGGTCGATCTGTATTTCCAAGGGCTTGTTAGCACGTACACCTGAGATGTAATTTTCGTTCGTGCTCGGAATGTCAGCGAAGAAAACGTGAGGTCTGCCTGTCTCGTGCTGGTCACCTCCTCCTGGAAGCAGTCCGTTTCGCATAATGTTGGCGAAGTTCCGCTTATCGGTGCGATGATAGAGCACCGTAGGAGGGTTGCTGCAGACGTTCCAGCCAGACCAGCGCCCGAGGTCCGTCCCCGGGTTCACGTACCACTCCTTCGCGATGCCGGAGTCGTCGATTTGGAGCCAGTCCTCATGGCCTTGGGAGGCCTTGATCTTGAAAATCCAATGAGAACAGGGAACGTCTCCGCACCGGCTTGCGTCCGGGCAACCAAGCGCAATGAACCTCTGCTTTTTGTCGAGCTTGAAGATGTCCATGATATTCTGAATATTCCATGGAATGGGATGTCGCAGCTCCTTGCGGAGCGCGAGTCCCAAATCTTCAAGGTCCATGTAGCCGTCCTCATCCATCACGTACCCACATCCTTCTGTTCCTCGACCACGGAGGACCTTCGAGATGCATGTCAGGGAGCTGTGGTACTCATTGCTGATTCTCCTGACGGAAGGGTCGTAATCAAAAGAAGGCTGCTTGATGATTTCAAGTCGCTTGGGGCCCTCGCCATAGTCAACATACTTCACGCCATCATGGATGCTATAAACCCAGCAATCGTAGTGGCCCCCAGTCACGTTCCTCCCGTAGGAGTCGAGTGGTACCGGCCTGCTCGTCGCCTCGTCCCTCTGTGCCACCGCAGCCGCCTTTGCACCGGCTTGCGCCGGGCGAACACTTTCGGAAACATCAGCACCGGAAGGCTTATCTGAAGTTGCAAATTCGGCTGGATCGACAGGGGCGAAGTTGAGGGGCTGCCGGAACTCCACTTCTTCACGGGTGAAAGGGAGCCCGATCATCTCTGACAATGAAACGCCGCACTTCGTTAGCGTTTCTTTGCAGTACGCGAGAACCTCAACGTTGACTGTGCAATCCTCTTGGTGGCGCACCTCGAGCACATCAATCGGGCGCAAGGTGCAATCATGCGACCGTGTAAGCTCAGCTACGCTGCCCATCGCGGGGCGCAAGATGGAAAGCATATACAACATGTGATGGGTTCCGCGCATAAACTGGACGGTCTTCGTGATATTGTCGTCACTGAAGCACATATGATACCTGTCCAGCAAATCGATGGTCTCGACAAAGGGTGTAGCATCAACGTACACAAACATATTGTTGGGGTCACCGATGATGTAATCCCGGACTTCCGTCATGAAACGGTCCCAAATCATAGAGAAGCCGTAGAGGTAGCTCTTCGCGCCGGTCATGACACCAAGGCATGCGCAGCCCTTGCGGGCCGCGAAATCCCTGGTCCAAGCCAGGTGCCGTCTGGTGTCGGCGAGAAGTTGCTCGGCGTCTCCGATGGGGGTGTCATAAGGATATACACCAGTGGGCTCGAGGCCGTCCTTCCCAACGAGCTCGTTGCCATTCCAGTAAATCATCGGAATGATGGTGGCTGCTGGGTAGTCGGTACGCACCTCGTCGATGAGGGCGGCCAACCGCTTGCACAGCTGTTGTAAGCCCTTGCCCCAAAGCATCTCAGACCTCCATGCACCGACGCGCGCCGGGCGAGAGGCATCCAAACGCTCCGCAAAGTCGTACTTGCGAAGCTTTCGCTTCTTGCCCGAAACCATGGACAGTCCTGAATCAGCGACGGTCACATAGATAAGGAGGTCGCGGTCTGGTACACGTGGGGCCTGCAAAACTTTCAAGTACGGTTCGCTTATGGTTAACAGGGGTGTAAGCAATTGCAGGTAGTGTGGTTGGTCCTGCACCCATGTATGAATAAGCGACTGTGCAGAGGTCGTCTCGAGGAGGCCCTTGACCGTGGCGGCGAGGTTGGCGTCGTATTTGCCGTTCGTGCATACCGAAGTGGTAGCGACATTCTCCATCCATCTCCTCCATGCCGGATCGCAATCCCTCGCGGGATGCGCCATAGCCGTCGCGCTGCTCATTGCGATGAAGATGCAGCACAATCACTCGAAAGCAACGGCTGCATGGTGGCATGTTCGGAAAATGCATTGTGAACGGCATCGGTGTAAACATACGTGTATCCCTCGGCTTCCTTCAAATGCATGCCACGGCTTTCATCATGCTCGTGAGAACCATCACACTTGAAGTACTCAACCACGGAAATAGTGGGCATATTACTGGCAACGACCCACTGCTTTTTCATAGGTTTTCCATTTCTCCCTTTGATTCCGATTTTGCAACCATGGAATTCATACTTGTTCATCTTGTACTTAGTCAAGAAACTCCATAGTTCGGGCCATTTCCAATAACGACATGCCTTGGGGAGTTCAAAGGCAACTCTAACGTCATCAGAATAGACATCATTGAGAATGCGTTTGAACCCTCTCAACAGTGATCGGAATTGCTTGATGTGACCCTCAATTTTGGCGGCACCTTTGGGAGTTTGCTGGTTGACATAACCCCACGGGCATCCTCCAGTGCATGGCAGCGAAACATAGAACATTATTGCACCCTTAGGATTTTTACTCCTAAATTCTGCAATTTCATGGACTAACCACTGCCTGCATGTATCAGAGCACCCGTCTTCGGCCTCGGTCACCCGAATGACACGACATCCTTTTGAAGAGTCTCTTGATTCGCCCAACCGTGAGGTCGTCGAACAACAGAATTCAATAAGGAGGCGCTTGGGCTGAACGTTGCATAACGCAGCGATCTGCCCCCCCTGATCGCTAACTTCTCCGGCCTTGGCGCGTGGGGAGAGCAGCAAACTGGTGGCACAGGCTCGCGCCTGGCGATTGGGGGAGATACCGATCAGCTCAAGTGCATGGTGCCACACTGGGGTGCTGTCAAACGCCTTGGTCAAGATGTCTGCAGCTTGGAGGGTAGTGTCAACATTGATTAATTCGAACTGCCTATTCACGAATTGCTCCTGGAGCCATCTAAAGCTAATGCGCTGGGTCCTATCCGTGCGCCTTAGCTTCTGTGAGTGTCCCTGCTGCAGGATAGTGATGGTGGCCTGATTATCTTCCATCAGCTTAACTTTCCACTTATCACTGAGATGCACAGTTAGGGCATTGATGTTCGCTACACTTGTGCCTGCATCAACATTTCCGTACCGAATTTCATCCAACTCGGGGTCGATGCGAGCGACAATGCCATCGGGCACATCAAGGGAGGCTTTTCCCGCCTTTTGAGCATACCCATGTGCTTCTTTCCCAAACAGGCTGAGCTGGCAGAAAAGC